TAGAGTATATACTGCTAATACAGTGCAGACAATACATTTACCGTACAGCTCCCCCTCGGTTCTCCTGAACCGAAGGGGTCCTGGTGCCGAAGCTAGCCGAAGGATCGGCCGAAGCTACGGCCAGATCCTTCGGCAGCTTTGTGAATAGACCCCTATATGTACATGTACTATATACTACATATAGAATGCACTGAACAATAGATTTACAATTATCCTCTGCTAATATGAATGGGTTGAATGATCCGTAGTACATGATATGTAGCCCTGTACCCCCTTTTCCACTTACAGAGCTAGGTTATTTTTCTTTTAAATAAATATTCATGTAATTTTATTGGTATCTATCTACCATTAGCTGCCTCATTTCCCACCCTCGGCTTATATTCGGGTCAATACTTTTTCCCAGTTTTTTGTGGTAAAATTAGGTACCTCGGCTTATATTCGGGACGGCTTATACTCGAGTATATACGGTAAGTGTGTACGACTGGGATCCCTCTGCTCTACTCTGCTCTGTAATACACTTCTGGATTCTGTTTCTCCTATTACTTTCTCCTTTTGTATCTCCCTCTCCAGTTCTTTCCCTGCACCTCTCTACCTATTATTTTGGTTTCCTAGTGCAGTTAAATCTGTCTCTTTGACTCTCTATGTTTTCTCTAGTTATATTGAGTGTAATAAACTTACATTTAATGGCAAGGAGCTGGAGTCACCTATTCTTCCCCACTGATCTCATTAGAAATACAACAGTTATGACCTATTTAGTTTGAGACGAATTGAGGTTCTGTGGAGTGGTTTCTGTACACATCTTGCTGATTGTTCATGTTATATCTTTTGTATGCTGGTTCTCTTGCTCATCCTTTATAAATAAAGAGTTTGAACAAAAAATGAACAAGCCCTCAGATAGCTGAAAGGACGTGCTAGTATGTACAAAAGCTGTAAAGCTGCATTTGTAATTGAAAAGTTCATATCAGGAGTTATATAGGCGTGCCTTTTGTTCTCCAAGGAACTATGCTTAATGAGGAGACCGCATATGGGTTTTATAGCAAAATGAATGGCTTTAAAAAATGCTTGCAGGTGGGCTTTTATTACAGAAGAGATTATGGGGTTGATTTACTTAAGGCAAATAGGCTGTTCACTTCATTCACTAAGCTTTGGGAAAGTTCCCCTGCCAAGTGCAAATTCCCTTGCAAAGTGAAGTTCTGCTGACTCCTGTTTTCCAATCATGTGCAAGCAAAAAATACTGTTTGCAGAATACCCAGTCATGTGCAAGGAAAATAAGAAAAGTGAAATATCACCATATTCACCAAGCTAAGGGAAACTTCCCCTGCAATGTGCAAATTTCCTGTGCAAAGTGAAAGGTGAACAAGTGTAAAAACGTTAAAAAAAACTTTTCTAGCTGGATAAATATAAAAGAATGTATAATTAAATATTGTACTTTTGTTATCCAGTATTAGCACTTTATTCTCCTTTTCACATGTTTACAGATGCTCCTAGCCTCTTTGATGAAAAAAAAAAAGACTGGGATAAAATGTAAGGTAATTGAGGTTTACGCAAGAGAGAAGCCACAGAGAAGTTTCATGCGGATAAAAACATTCAGGAATTATCAGCTTGACATATACAGGTCTATTCACTAAAGGGTGAAGAGTTTGGAGAAGGCAGGAGAAGTGAACAATCTAGGCCAAAATAGCTGATTTGGAAAAATTCTCCAATTCAGCTCACTTTCCAGTTCAGCCATGTTGTCCTAGATTGTTCACTTCTCCTGCCTTCTCCAAACTCTTCACCCTTTTGTGAATAGACCCCATAGTTATGGAACCAAAAAGCCATACCTAAATTCTGGGCTGTTAAGCAATGTAACCAGATACTGCATAATGTCACATGTCACTCCTCACTTCTGAACACACAAATATGCATATAAAGTAATATTAAAGTCAAAATGTTTTTCAGCTTTTTTCAGATGCTGATTAAAACTTTTAAACATCAAGAAGTAGCATCCATTGTAAGTGGTTTAGCTTCCTGCAGAATCAGCTGGTCCCCTGAGCACTGGCTCTGATATCCTGTAATAGGGTGGCTCCTTTCTCTTGCAGGGACCTATGGAGCCACCCTTGTGTGTGCTGGTAAGCTGTGTGTGTCTCCACAAGCACACAGGCACATCAAGAAACCACTCCCTGGCTCCCCTGCTCCTCCCTCCTCTGAGACTGTGCGGTCCATTGTGATCTTGTATTGGACAGGAAGTTCAGGGAATCTGAACTGTTTGGTAACAAGATGACTAAGTACTTAAACAAAAATGTAAAGAAATACTTTGCTGGGCAATGTATATTTGTGTGATCTGAATTCATTATTGAAAATTATGAGACTCTAATACTACTTTATTATTTATTAACTGCTGGAAATATGTATGGCTATTTATAACAGAAACACGCATATACACACTGACAGCCATGCATACACTTTCAAAGTGTAGGTATGGGAGGTCACAAAAAACGACTGACTTTCTATTTTACCCCAAAACCCCGTTTTGACAAAGATGAGCACCAATAATCCAAATTACAGCTGTGACAGGAGAGCTGCCCACTTCAGTAGCAGCAGTTGAGGGGGCGCATCTCTCCTTCATCGGACGAGTATGTCTTCTGGTATAGACTGCAAGGCTCTGTTATCAGTTTAACAGCCTGGCCCCACTCTATCAAGATGGCTGAAGTGAATCCTTAGTAAATGAGGCCAACATAAATATGGTATATATATTTTTTTTCCTTAACCACTTTAGGACCGCCATACGTATATAAACGGTGCTGTCCTAAAGTGGTTATACCACTTCAGCAGCTGTGATCTTAGTACAGTTTTTTTGCTGCTGGTGATGGCTGCCACACACAAGGGTTCAGGCGAGTATAGAGCCACTCAGTCGCTCGTTTTAACTACTTGCAATGATCGAGAGTACGATCTGCCTGTCCAAGATGGGCAGATTGTACGTTTTTTAAATTACTTTACAACCATCGCAAGACTAATGTCTTGCGATGGTTGTAAAGTGTATGGTCACCTTTACCTTCATCTCGGGTAAATGAATCTTGTCCTGGCACTCTGTACAGTCCAGTATTGCTCTCACATTATTAGTTTAGCTATACCCCTGCCAGTGTGTGTAAGTAATGTAGATACATGTGAGAAGAAAACAATAGCAGATTTATTTTATTATATGTTTATTAAGCACAAAAAAAGTATAAAGCATCACTATATAGAATATCAATATAATTAAAGAAATATAGGGATTAAATCACTATACAAAGAACACAGCATTTAAACTCTTTATTGCCCGCAGATATACTAAAGCTCTGAAACAGCACAAGATAGCATAAAGGATACAAACTCTGAAACAACTGCAAAAATGCTAATAACATTTGATTTGCATAACATATACCTTAAAATGAGCAGGTTTGTGATGAAAGAGGTCAAATGTTGTTAATTCGCTGTTATTTTTTGTTACATACTCAAACACATATAATAAAATGTAATGATGTCATTCCTCATTTACATTTGTTGGCTTAGGTTCATATAAATAATCCTGCTGCTAAAGGCCTGTTTTATTAGCCATCTCACCATTGTGAAGTCATTTCTGGGGCAGTAAAATACAGTCCAAAAAGTTTCTTTATATGGCAAATAGAAAATGCACCAACACTACTATACAGAGTGTGCTTAAAGTTTCCATGTATTTACAACAATGGGCAACCAAAAGAGACCTGTTTGCCAAGGACTTTGAACTAGGTGGTGTTGTAACTAAAAAGTCCAACAAAAATTGTGACCATTGATAAGGTATGTGTCCTTTTGTAGTAACACAAAGGCGTCCAAAGTCTACATCATCTTTGTAAATAACACAGAGGTGTGTGGTCAGCAAGGTGAAAGTCATTTTCCTTAAAAATCCCCTTTACAGCAAATTGGTGTCACCAAGCCTCAAGTAGGCAACTTAACTTGGACCTCTCTTATCACACCAAGATGAATGCATGTATAGTGTAGTGTACTAGCTATCTTTAAATTGTATCTAAACCCAAAAATAAAAATGTAATATATTGCAGCTTACCAGTCATTACATGAGCTGAATACATTAGTTTTATTTTGTTTGCAGTACTACCTGGTGAAAATAAATGGAAGAAAAACAAATAATAATCTTCCTATCCCAGCTTGGCTACACTCATCCAGCCCTCTATAGTCCAAATCAGCATCATTTTTTTGTATTTATACAAACACTTCTTTTACCATCCATCTCCATTACATGGGGCAGCAACTTATAGGCGTCTATTCACGAAGCTGCACGAGGGCAGCCGAGTGAATGACCGATCAGAAGTGAAGTGAGCCGAACACTGTTCGGCTATTCACTTCAGGCTGAAATAAAAATCTTCCGGGCGCTCTGGGAGTCTCCCGCTCCCGGCCGCCCAGGAGAGAAACACTGCCGTGTCTTTTTTTCTGTATTCTGACACGAGCATGTGAAAAAGAAAAAGAAAAATTCCCATTAAAAAGCATTGGGACATTACTATTGAGAAGGTAAATTGGAAGGAAGATAGTGTTGCTTGTGCTGTCATTTCAGCTCGTAGGAAGTGACATGAACACTGCATTTCTGGTACGATCAACAGACATTGCCAGTCGTTAGATGTGGTGGCTACATTAGTACAGACAAGGTTCAATATATTACATTTTTTTATTTTTTTTAGATATCCTTTACTAGAATATCATTATAGTTAACTTGCTATATTCTTTCTCTCTACATGCCTTGCTGCATTATTTGCCTCTTTGTGGTCACACCTCTTTTTTAGCAGCTCTTTACATACCTTTTAAATACTACTACTTCTACTACAGAAAATAACACAAACTAATAAATGTGCATACTATGATGTTGACTATATGATGAGCTATATGTGTTAGTGATGTAAAGCAGCTTGTAACTGTAAAATGTTAGTGCATTGACAACTTAACTTTCCATCAAGGTTCCTGGAAATAATGATTCTGTAGATGGATATCATTATTCATAATAGGGGAATCTATACCATTATTTCCATGACCAATGTCCATATTAGTAGGATTTTCTCTTTGGATGCCAAATATTAAGGGTTCATCAATGCCATATGGAGCAAATCCTGCAGCTGTGTCATGTGTCAGTTTGGGGACATTGGCTGGGGTTACAGGCAATGGACCCTTGCTTTGTCCTAAAGGATTAAGTCCCATATTAGGAAGATGGATGTTGGGGAATTGAAGGGTGTCAATTTGGCCTGGTGGTATCCCCTCTAAGCCAGACATGGAAGGATTCAAGCCAGCAACTTGGGGAATTTCAGCTGGGATCTGTGCAACTCCTTGACCTGCTGGTTTTACACCTGCTCCAGGAGAATCGTCTTCTATAGTAAAGTCTCCAGCCATTGCTGGGTTCAGTGGCTTGCCTCCAAGACTGGGTCCAACTCCTAGCAATCCTGGGTATAAGTAACTCAAAGGATGTGCAGCTCCAGCTCCAGCACCAGCTCCACCCTATGATACATAGTATTGTGTAAGTAACATAAAATGTGATATAAGCTTTTACAACAGCATATACTGTATATTACGCAAACAATCTAAAGAATATATAAAGGTATCATTCAGTAGACAAGATATGCTAGAATACATTTAAATGTATCTAAAGCCCATTTTTCCCATTCTTGATGGAATAGGGAAAGGTTAGAAACTCTGTCGTATTTTTAGTTGTGTTTGGTCACCAGAGCAAATAGGGGAAATGGGTGCATATTGTCACTAGAACATAAAAAGAGGGGAAATCTTCTAATAGTGACACTTAATTTGGATAGATTTCCCATAACTTCCTGTTGTGTCTCCAAAATACAGTGTAAAGGAAAATCTCCCCAATGGGACACAGACAACAAAAAGCCCCACAAAACTTGTCAGGGGTGTTAACCATTCTCTACTCCCTACTTTAAAAAAAAGTTTTGGCTTTAGATATACTTTGTTTTTGGGTCTTCCTTGTCTCATTATGAAAAAACACTAATACCGCCTTCATTTAGTATAACACTAACTATTTTCAGTCCAGTGTATCTGTGCCTAGACTAGGGACATTTCAATGTTTTTAGCAAGCAGTAAAAGAACTTTAAAACACATATCATATAATTTCACTTTAAAAACAGGTAGATATAAGATTTCAGTAACTGCGTTGTGAATTTAGAAAAATGATTTTTCCACAATGCTTATGGGTACATAGATAAATGAGGGATTGTTGGAAGTGTTTTTACTGTTAATGCACAATAAAGTATTTATGTATTCTGAACAAACTGGGCACAGTTCACTCACACCGATGCTCCTGCACTATTGACACATGGTTAATGAATTGTACAGAACTGTGCGATCGCACCAGTGTGAATGGGCCCTCAAAACAGAGCATCCTGTTGCCTCCTTAACTGCTGATACTAGTTTGGGATCTCTCCAAGGCCCAAAGATTGTTAACATTTTTCTGCTACATTACTTACTCCAGGGTGTTTTATATGGAGATTGGGATAATCGCCATAAAATCTTCACTCCTCCCAAACTTTTTGCTGAATAATAGCTGCCTTAATTAAAATGTGGGCTGTTCCCACTGTGAACACGGCAATTTCATGCCTTAACAAAACACTGACTTTGTCTATTGAGGATGCACCAGTGTTTGAGAATGCTACCAACAAAGGATTGGAAGCTGCTTGGAATCACTGTTTTCACTGGCAGGGACTGCTAGGTATCATTACCATTGATTATGGTACGGTAAAGGCTGGAGCTTTTCTAGCGTTGTTACAAAGGAGGAGGCATTCACACCATTCTTGACCTAAAAGTCTTAAAATGCAGGTCTGTCATAGCCTCCCTTAATCATGGAGACTTTCTAGCCGCTGTGGACATGAACGATGCAAACTTGCATGTCCCCCTCTTTCCAGCACATTAACGCTACCTTTGCTTTAGCGGCTCAGCACTGCCAGTTTGTAGTTCTATTATCTGGCCTGTCCTCAGCACCCTAAGTGTTTACCAAGATATTGGCTCCCCCGCTAGCATTGCTACTTTCCCAGGGGATTCCAATTCTTTGACTATTGCCTGAAGAGGAGATCGTCTGCTTGGCTTCTGACTGCTAATGTGCTTTGGGCAGCCCAGACCCTAAGAAGCTTGTGTTGGATCCTGAAACTTCAGAAATCAGCACTTTTCTTCCTCAAGTGTAATTTTCCACTCTCAGATTTAAACTATTATGTCCAGGAGTTCTGGGCCTCATGGTAGCCTCCTTGAAGGCAGTTCCCTTTGTTGAGTTGTAGGGTTCTGGAGTGAAACTGGGCATTCTGTCATTGCCTGAGGTGACCTGCTCAACAAAGTTGTTTGTCCAGGCACTGACACCAAAGATTAGGTTGTCCCTGGCATGGTGGCTCAGGAATAAAACGCTGGAGTTGGAGAAATCCTTCCTCCCGTGGTCATGGAAAATTCCAATAAAGGATGCCAGCATGACATGATGGGAGGAGTCCTAGGCACCTTGTCAATGCAGGCACTACATGTTTTTCTTTTTGATAGCTTTGCTAAACTGATTAATAAAGAGATTATTATCTCTGCTAGGAGAAAGGAAGGATGGAATTTGACTTTACCTTGTATCTAGTTTTCGCACAAATATTTTTTATTTAGGTAAATAAAAATTATTATTTGTTAAAACCATATATTGAAATATGTATGTGTGAACCTTAAATGATGATTGATTTTCTATATTTTAATCTATCCAAGTTTAGAGATGCAGTTTTGACTGGTGCTGCTGATTTTTAGTTTACAATTGGTAATCAATCAGTAAGCTTGACAGGCAGACCTAAGTATAGTTGAAACAGTTGTTAGGAATGCTCAAGATGACTTGGCCTTTAAAATGGGTTTGAAGAGTAAAACAGATTACTCAGGACATAGACTATGATGCCCAAAATGAGATAGAAGGAGAACACATGACTCAGCTACTAAGAGTATGGCACTGCCTTATGCTAATCAGAAAGACTTGTAAGGTAAACATCACATAGGTTATTTTAAAGTAAAAGCATGGATAAAAGGGCACACAACACTGATCCAAAGGGACACATTCACACCCACACAGCATCACACATATACACACGCGCACGCCCACACCCCCACACTCACATAGAATAGACAGAGACACCTGTTAGGACTATTTTTTACTTACTAACTAAAGACGTTTCTTAAGTATCTTATAGATTTCTGCTGTAAGATATACTATATTTTGTAACCATCAAGCATCTTATAGGCTCATTCTGTAAGATATACCATATCCTGTAATATTTTGTAACTTTAAATTAAACACATTCTGAACTTTATGCAACAACGGAAACAATCATCTATTATTGAACTTTTCCACCCTATGCTTCGAGAAAAGGAATATGACATAAAAAAGCATATTTCGTGTTATTTCTAACATTATTACATAAATTTTACATATACTTTAGTACTGAACATACATACTGTATACATGAAAAACTATAGAATGGAATATTCTTTCTACATTTGAAAGCTTTACTGATTTTCACCAATCTACTGTACAGTATGTTTTATATATTTCTAAGTGTTTTAGATGATAACTACAATCATGTGTACCCATCACCAATTAATAATCTATTTTAGTACCTGCATTTCTTCTGAGCTCATCATTCCAAACCGGGCTGGTGGTAACTGTAAAATATGCAACGTGTAGGTATCAAATCTGAGACACAAATTATCAGGAAGCCTTAGATAAGTACTGCACTGCAAGGTCCAAGATGGTTGCCAGAGCTCCCAGAAAATCCCAGTGACATCATAAACAATGTTATTAGCATTTCCTATGTAATAAAAAAACTTAAAACTGTGGTTTAATTATCGTCCAAAAAATACATAGTACTCAAGGGCACAAAAATAGTTGGATGTGTTGCGTTCCAATATGTATGCACAAACGCTGCAGTCATGTACATTTAACTCAGTTGTGCCATTGCTGATAAATCCTTATATTCTTATATTTTACAGAAGGGAATATACTATCTTATCTCATTTGCTGTATATCCCGGGGGAGATGTCCACCATGAGCACTAGAGCATTGATCACAAATTGTTTTAGAGCAGTGTATAAGTGCTGTTTTTGCCTCTTTATGTTCTCTAATGTATAAATGTTCTCGAATTCATCGGTTGCAAATGTTCCATGATATGAAGTAATACAAATCTAAAAAATGAACTAACTGGGTTGGATAAAGTTTCTTTGAGGTCACCAGTAAGCTTCTGGATTTTCACATATAATAATAGGTTATTATATGTGATTTCTCTGTCATGACAATGGCTCATGTGTAGCTCTTGCTAAATGTTGGGTAACTTTTTGTGAAACAAAAGCTGTGTTATTTAAGTAATAACACCTTGACCTTTTGCAGGATGATCTAGGTGTTCTGTTCTTTTATACGCATGTACTCATACTGAATGTCCTTGACTTTATTTTTACAAAGATAGATTATATATTACTTACTCCAGGTCCTGTGCCATAATTCATAAAGAAAAGATTGGGGTAAGGCTGAAAAAAAAAAGATCCATATATGTTATTAGAAATGTATTGGACATAAGCTTTTGTATTTTACACAAAATAGGAATTCATTTTGTATCACCATTTTAAAAGGAATTTACTCCTGTTTATCCAGGTCACCTTGACCATGCAGGATATATGAATTATGTGCAGACGCAGAGTGATAGCTGAGCCAGTAGCTTTGTTTGAAGAAAAGAAAACATACCATCATATGATTGGCTGTCATGGTAATCACATGATCGAGAACCAGTCAGCCGCAGCTTCTGATTGTCACCTACTGCTTTGTTGCATTTCCTATCTGTGTTGCGTGCTAATCCCTGACCCTTTCTACTTGCCATAAGTGATTTATGGCTGGAGGAAGTGGCTGTACTGCCACTTCACATCAAGAGAGGGTGTGAACTGTCCCTGTCTAAACAACTGTGATCATTCAGTATTAACATTATTCTGAATCATTAAAATTATTCTGAATTGAGAAAGCTGGATGAATGAGAACCTTCACAGACATTCAGTATTACGACTTTAATAATCTAGCCTTTACCTGAAGCTATTTTATTTAGCACTAAGAGACTTACATGCTGCTGATGAATGGGTGGGACTCCTGCAGGGTCTGGTACATGGTCTGCTGCTCCTTGTTGCAATAACTTATTCATTATTGTCTGGTACTGGAGGGAATTTAAAATATAAAGATGAGCAAATAATCACATAATTATGAATAATGAATATGCTTATACCAACTCATAGCATTTTAAGAATTCAATTGAAAAAGTAAAAAATAAAGACTATGGTGATACATTTGAAGTGGAATGGCAGACTTTGTTTTAGTGTTTGGACAGTGGTGAAGAGTTAGGCCATCTCTCACATTACAGAACCAATGTGGAGGTGGAAGGGGTTGGGACCAAACTCAAATGTTACAGCAAAATGTATCATATGTCTCTGGATTTAATTTGATATGTCTCTTCATCTCTTCAGGGAAACCTATCCCACCTCAACCTAACCACTGAACCATCACGTTCTCAAACAATTCATCCCTACACAGCTACCTCCTCATGTATCACTTGCCCTCCCTTTTAGATTGTAAGCCCTCACGGGCAGGGCCCTCCTTACCATCTTGTCTTGAGTTGTATTGTGACTGTAATGTCTTCCTTATATTGTAAAGAGCTGCGCAAATGAACCACCATAGAAATGTTCTGCTGCCCTGTGTTTTGCTGTGTTTTTGGGATAAATGATAGCAGTTAAGGAATCCTGGTGTTATAGCTAAATGTGCATCAAGAGGGGTGCTGGTGTGTTATAATTTTAATAAGAACTGTAAATTCTCTACCAACATTTGTCTGCTTTGGCTATGTCATTATATCCGGTGCAATAAATGATTTCCCTTTATATTGATGTGTTATGTGTAATATGGGTACTGGTGATGCAATTTTTCCCAAAACCCAGGCTCCCCTTGAGCTTCACTGAGCTTTTGTCAGTCAACTTGACATTATGGAAAAGAAGATGACACACACACACACTAAGGCTAGGTTCACACCTAGGCAATTTATCGCACTGATTTAGCCGCGCGATATCACACAGAGATTTGCATTTAAGTCTATGGAAGATGTTCACACCTTTGCGATTTGTTGCACGGTAGAAATCGCCTGTTGTACAAAAAGGTGCAGGAGCTATTTGCGTGCGGTTTTCACGCAGTTTGGGTCTCATAAACATCTCTATGCATTGAAAATTGCGCGACAACCACGCAGTTTTCAAAACAAAATTGCGCAAAAAAGAAACGCACGACAACAGCTCACCAACTCAATTGCCTAGTTGTGAACCTAGCCTAAATCTGTCAGGTTATCACAACTGGGAGAGCTACAAATTTACTTTACTAGATTCAGGAAGCCAAAAAGAAATGAAACATAATTATTTGTAGACATCTAAAAAAGACCAATCATTGCTGATATGTACAGATTACTATTCAGACCAGTGTCATATATGAGCAGATGTAATGGACCTTTTCAGTCATACCTATTTAAAAGAATTATCCAGCATTATGAACACTGCTGTTCAGTTTATTTAATTTTTTTATAGGAAAAGCTATGTATAATGTCACCAAATCAGATTATTCAGCTGCTGCAGTTCTCCATGGGTTCTAAACAAGTCAAATATTTTTTTAAAGTGATCCAGGAAAATGCCACCCCGGGCAAAGCAATGCATTTTTGTTAGTTTCACTTATAGTAATCAATACATTGTTGAGGTGCACTACATAACACACATTTCATAATTAAATATACTAAACCTAAGCCAGAGTAATGATTACCATAAACAATGCTACCGTTTGGATTTGACCATCAGCCGGACCACCCTTTGGGGGAATCAGAGTTGGATCTCCTTGCTGTATATTTGGAAACCCGAGGGGCAGTACAGGCTGGTGCACAAGCTGATCTGCCTTAGCTGATGTAGCTGGTGATTGCTGAGGAACAGTCTGTCCATCCTGTCCAAATTTAGCTGGTTGACCTACAGATGGCACTCCTGGTAATGGTGGAGGATGTATGGGCAATGCATATTCAAACTAAAGAAAAAAATAAGAGATTTGCATATGCATTTTATTTATTTTTCTTGTAAATCAGAGTTTTATAAAAATGTATTAGCCAAAGGGGCAAGGTGCAGTAAACCATTGTAGCCAATCAGAATTGCTCTTTTACTATGCAATGTTTAATTGTATAAGCCCAACTGTGGCAAACCAAAGTGTGAAAGAAAAACAAAAGAGAAAACATACATTTTATGTGTATTCCATAGACGGCTCCAAACATCCATTACTGTGATTAGTTTGGCATTAATTTGCAAATAGAGCACTATTAGTGTAATATGTCTAAAGTGGCTTGACCACATAGGAACAGGTTGTTGGCAAATTTTACACTTGGCTACCCTTGTCTTTTTATCTTGGGTCATCTTGGGTTTTACAGTCAGTTCCAGGTACATTATAAGCACTTTCAATACCTTTTACACATACTGAAAGCTATACACTACAGACTCAAAGCTATACACTACATACACATTTCACGTCAACCAAATCTACACTCATTTTTTATAAGTTTGCACTGTATAAAGATTTGTAATTGTAAGGTGGCTGAACAAAGGGTGTACGTGATCCGGGAAAAAATGGGTTGTGGCTCATAGAGAGCTTGATGGGTGGTAATGTGATGGATTTACTATTACTCCTATACTAGACCCTAAGTGGTAGATTTTACATCCATGCTTCACAAAAATGTGTATTTTCTATATAAACTATAAATTATTCAGTGACCTGTTCGTTGTTAATAGACAGACACAGCAAAATATTTTTTAGACATAATGCTTGGCAAACATTACCTGTTGGTTGTCTGGCATTTGTGACCGTTGATGTAGCCAGGGATACATATGTGGTGGTAAAAGTCCATGTAGCCACAAAGTAGAATCATCATATCCAAATCTTGAAAGCTGAAATAATAGTTGGTTACATACAGTTATGTGTACAGCCAATGAGAAACATTACACAAGATAAGTTAACATTGCTGAGGAACAATGGGTACCATTTGCTGTGACCAGAAGCATAACTAGAAACCTCAGGGCCCCATCAAAAAATGTAATTGCCTTGGCAGTTACTGGGGTAGTGCATGTGTGTAGACCCAGGGGGCAGGGCCACCAATAGAAATCATGGGACCCCACACAGCCTACCTAATCCTTCCCCGCAGCAATACAAATTTGTTATTGCTGTCTTTGATTATTAATATTTGCACCCGTGGGGGGGCAGATTATTATTGCTGCCTGGGGAGAAAGTAATATTAATTATCAAGTGTTAATAAAAGAAATAACCCCCAGACAGCAATAATAACCCCGCTGTCCCAGCAGCAATAATAATGTAGCTGCCAGGGGGACATTATTATTATTTAAGTGTGTAAAAAAACAACTATTTCCTCTTACTTTCTCTCGTCCGGTTTCACCTCCTAGCACCTGGCATGCCACACTTCTCCCCCTCCTAATAGCAATCCGCAGGCTGGGGCAGATTGATATTCTCTGCGGGTGGCCAGGTGCAAGCCGGCACTAAACTTAATTATCAAGAGCAGCAGTTCCTGATATTACTCCACAGCTGTTGAAACTGGTGAAATAGACCCGTCTCTCCCCCGGGTCCTATTAGTTCAGCAGGGGGCCTGGGGAGAGAGGGCACTGTATCATAATTCATGAGAGCTGAAAAAGTTAAAGAGTCCCCTCTCTGTCCCTGGGCCCCCCTGCTGAACTGATGTGGCCAGAGACCAGAATAGCAGGACCGGCTCTACCCCCTATCTGTGGCCCTGCCAGGAGGCAATGCCGGCGCCTCAGTGGTTACCGGGCCAGGACCTCTTCTTCCTTTCTGGGCCCCTCCCCCCAAGTGGCGGAAGCCAGGGCCCAGTCGTACATGCGACCACTGCAACCCTGGTAGTTCCGCCAGTGAATCCGCCAATGCAGTGATGATAAAGTGCCCCACATGACTCCCCCAATGCTGTCATTAATCCCCCATGACTCCCCCAATGCTGTAAACATTTTGCCTCCATGACTCCCCCAATGCTGTGATAAAGCGCCCCCCATGACTCCCACAATGTGATAAAGCCCCCCTATGACTTTTCAAATGCTGTAATTAAGCCCCCCATGACTCACCAAATGCTGTCATGAAACTCCCAGTGCTGTGATAAAGCCCCCACTGACTTACCCCATGCTGTGATGAAGCCCCTGGGAGGTCTCAGGGCTCTCCTGACCCAGGCATTTCACAGTATCTCCGGGTTGGCACTTTAGCCCTGGACCAGCAGCACCCAGCTCTCCAGCCAGCCCTAGAAGGACACCTCAGACTCAGGGCGGACCAGCACTTTGCGTTTGTAAACTGGATGGCATGGGCGAGGGGGCGAAGGGCAACCAGATTTTCAGAGGACCAAGGCTAGGGAAGTGGGGGCCAGCTGGACCATCCTGGACCTCACAGTGCAGTGCTCCCATACATAGGACACGGTGTGCAACTGCCTGCGAGCATCAATACCTCTCTGCTGTAAAGGAGGACTGGACCTGCTGTCAAGCGCTGGAACGCCAGGGCACCGGTCACATATGCGACTGCTGCAACCCTGGTAGTTCTGCCAGTGGCTGTGACACCACACTCACATTTCAATTCCCAAGCCTTTTGATGGGTCGCTGAGGCACCCAGTATAGCACCTTATAATGCTTTTGCTTCTGCCCCAACATTAACTCATCACAAGGGGGTTCCATGACACTGTGCTTGCAAAGCATCCTAGCAAGACAGAGGGAGAAGCTCCACAAGTAAGCAGATGCTGCTGGTCTAAGTGTTACACCATATATTGCCATCTGAACAGGAGACAAGAGTGTGTTCCTCCAATAACATTCTCTTTACCGCACACAATGTAGCAGGTGGAACTCTCAAGTCTACTAAATGGAAGTGTTCTGCACCTCTATTGCAGTAAATATATGATATGTTATGATTCGTATTTACCTGAGAAATACAATATATGTATAACACTAATTATTTAGTTACAAAAAAATAACCAAAAGTAGAGTATGCATCGGTTGTTGTTTTTCTTTAAAGCTACTCTACCAACAGGGTGTGCGCATGTAAAACAAAAGTATTGGATTTTAAAGGAAGACTAAATAAATTATATACAGTATATACACAATTCTTATAAGTAGTAAATAAAAAGGAAAGTGGGGTTTTGTAGGCACCAAAAGACAATTCTCCAAATACCCCCACGCCACCCACAACCAGCACCGCCGCCTCCCGGCCGGAGCGGTGCTGGTTGTGGGTGGCGTGG